GTGGGGCCTGAACTCTGGGCCTGGGCACTGTCCCTCAGCTCTTCAGCTCAAGGCTAGTGCTCTACCACTTGAGCCACAGTGCCACTTCCAGCTTTTTCTGCTATGTGGTGCTGCTATGTGGAATCAAACCCAGGGCCTCATGCATGCAAGGCAAGCACTTTACCACTGAGTCACCTTCCCAGCCCCTAGATCTAATTCTTGCTACTGTTTTCACATCAAGTTTGCTCGAGATCCTTATACAAGTTTATCATGTCATATAACTTCCATTATTATTCTCATCTTAGAGATGAGTAAACTGAGACCCACAAGGAAAGATTGATTTCCTTCCCTTAATCATTGTTCCAAACCCAGAATTAGAGTCTGAAAGTTTAACCAATGCTTTCTGACTTACTCTATTATTGAGAAGTGGGGAGGGGGAGAGAAGAGGAAGGGGAGGAGGAAAAAAAGAAAAATGTATGGAGGATTTACTTTGGCTTTTGCAGGGTAGATTTTCTGTATGAATGGAACAGTTTCTTTTTCTGAGCTAATCATGCCCACAATTTCCAGATTCTCTGTAAATTGCAGCCTGGCAATTCCCTCAAAGCATTTCTTCAAATGTGGCTGCACACGGAGGGGGTCCTTTGTCTCAGACAGGATCTCCAGCAGCTCATCATTTGACAGGAAGAAGAACCTGTTTTAAAGTAAAAAGCAATGGTAATTGGGAACTTTTCTGAGAATTTCTCTTTCCTACAAGGCTATATTATCTAAAAGGGAGATCATATTCAAATGAATACTAGCTATGTCCTAAAGTTTTCTCTAAAACCCATCCTTCTCAGTACTTTTCATCGGAGGAATAAAAGTTAAAGACAAGCCCCGCACTGGTGGCTCACACCTGTAATCCCAGCTACTCAGGAGGCCAAGATCTGAAGATTGTGGTTGGAAGCCAGCTTTGGCAGCAAAAAAGTCCCTGTGAGATTCTTTTTTTTTTTTTTTTAATATTTTTTATTGTGAAAATACTTACAGAGGGGTTACAATTGCATGGGCAAGATAATGAATACATTTCTTATCAAGCATTGTAGCCTCCTCTTTTGTTTCCCCTTCCCATCCCTTCCCAGCCTCCACCCGCCCCCCCACCCAATCCCCCCCCCAACCAAATTTGTAAAGTTCGTTTTCGACATGACAACTTGTACTTCTCATTGTTGCAAGGGGTCCACCTGTATCCTTATTTAAACGACTTGTTTTTCCCCTTCCCCTCCACAAATTATACCGACATCAAATACAGTGCAAGCAGGGGTTATACTGTGGGGGAGGGACATACAAAGCAACAAAGCCCTGTGAGATTCTTATTTCCAATTAACACTCAAAAACCAGAAGTGGTGCAGTGGATCAAGTGGTAGAGCACTAACCTTGAGCACAAGGAGGCAGAGGGACAGAACCCAAGACCTGAGTTCAATACCCACGGCCAACAACAACAAAAAACAAATGCTAAAGAACATTTCAACTCTGAAAGCAAGGGAATAAAAAGGTGAAAGAGGGTATATGTTAGTTGAATATAGATGAGAAGTAAAGTAGCACTATAATTAAGGCTAGGTAAAGCATAGTTTTCAACTTTGCCTGTTCTTTAGAATTATCTGGGAGTCTCTAAAAATTCCTGTTAAGGTTCTAATGTCTGGAGATCTTAATATAATTGATCCAGGATAAGGCCTGGGGAAGTCTGTCTTAAAAACAAACAAAAAAAAACTACCAGGAGATTCTAATGTCACTTGGCAGTTTTAAAATGTCTGGCATAACATAGCGTAACTCCTTTGAACAAATAATTTATAGCTCCAAATCCAAGCCCTTCATCATGACTATTATCTCCTTCTAATTGAAGGAAATGGCAATGCTGGTTGATCAAAGTGTGGACTTGATGCCCCATTGAATCTGTTCATCTTCATTCAGATAATGACCTTAAAAAAATGTGCAGGTCACAATGCTCAACAAGAAATGTACTCATGTATATTTCATATAACTGTAACCCCTCTGTACAGCATCTTTACAATAAAATAAAATTTTTAAAAATGTGCAGATCATTTCCAACATATTGTTTTATAAGTATTGCTACTGCATTGGTTCCACCCTTGTCCTTTGGCTCACCGTTCTGTTGTTCCCCTTCCCTTCCCAAACTCCAATAAACATACATACAATACCAGGATACCAAAATCAAATACAGTGACAACAGGGGATAAACCATAGGGGGAAGAACACACAAAAGAAATAAGAAATCACATAGTACAATAAAAATAACAGCAAAGCTTGGGGGGATGTGGGGAGGGAAGGAGGGAGAAAAATGAGGGAAGGGGCAACAAGTTTGACAAGTAATACACTTTTGACCTTACTTATGTAACTATAACCGCTCTGTACACCACAATAAAAAAAAAAGAAAAAAATGTTCCCCATTCTTAGAAGCTGTCTCTTGGGACAATGGAGAATCAGGGATAGAATAGACTGATCAAAGCCAACTCAATATGAGAAATTCAATTCTACATATATATATATATATATATGCATATATAATTTAAGAAGCCAAACAAAAGTTATTATCAAATACCTGGGGAAAAATAGTCTCTTCTTTTCCAAATAATCATTCAGCCCCCTCTGGATGTCATCCAATAGAACGTTGGCCTCTTGAAGCTTCTCAGACATTCTTGGCTGGTCTGCTGCCACCAGAACCCTGGTATCTTTTACCTGATTTCACCAAAAAAGGTGAGTTTAATCATAGGGTTTCCACATTCTTGAGACTGGCCTTGGGAATGCAAATATAACCACCCCCTCAACTAATGATGCCCCCCGCCCCAATTAACTGCTTCTTTGTGTGTGCATGCGTGCATGCATGTGTGCATGCACGCACACACGCACCTCAGTCCTAGGGCTTGAACTCAGGGACTAGACAATATTTAGGAATTTTTTTGCTCAAGGCTAGCACTCTACCAATTGACTCACAGCTCCACTTCCAGCTTTTTGGTGGCTAATTGGAGATAAGAATCTTACTATCTTTCCTGCCTGGGCTGACTTGGAACTAAGATCCTCATTTCTCAGTCTCCTGAATAGCTAGGATTACAGGTATGAGACACTGGCACCAGGCAACCAACTGCTTCTTAATCCCTTTCTTCTTCCCACTGGGGTAAATGTTCATTTATCATACACTTCTAGGGGTTTAGAATTCAGACCATAACTCTTTATATTAATTTGTGTTGGCCCTTTAAACAGAGGACTTTGGAGATATTTAAGAATCATCGTCTAAGCCAGGCACTGGTGGCTCACACCTATAATCCTAGCTACTCAGGAGGCTGAGATCCAGGGATCACGGTTCAAAGCCAGCCCGGGAAGAAAAAGTATGTGAGACTCTTATCTCCAATAAACCACTCAGAAAACCGGAAGTGGCTCTGTGACTCAAGTGGTAGAGCGCTAGCCTTGAGCTGAAGAGCTGAGGACAGTGCCCAGGCCCAGAGTTCAAGCTCCACAACCAACAACAACAACAAAAAAAGAATCATATTTCAGTATGTGGCTGAGTGGGAGAGTCAGTCAGCCTGCAGAGAGAGACTGGAGCAGATATATGTAAAAGCACAGAGATCATAGACATGAAACAGATCTTTATGAGCTCCTGTTGCACTGACTTCCTGTCCTTGGTTTCCATAAGACACACATCCTGATCTGAATGAGCCAAAGAAACAAAAACAAAAAACAAAAAAACTCTGGATCCACTGGCTAGCCCACATAAATTCCACTTACCTCACTCCTGCCAAAAAGTGGAGCAGAGACATTCCCCCGAGATAAATTCTTTGTAAGTGTGCATTAATTTGAGTATACTTGACTTTAGAAACAAACAAGGTAATGTTCTTATAAACTGATATATTGAATTGAAACCCCTTTATATCATTATTTAAAGATGAGTTAAAAATTAGAAAGCAGGCTGCATGCCAATGGCCCATGCCTGTAATCCTAATAACTCAGAAGGCTGAGATTTGAGGTTCAAGGTTTGAAACCAGCCCAGGCAGGAAAGTCTGTGAGGCTCTTATCTACAATAAACTATTTTTAAAAAGCCAGAAGTGGCTCAACTGGTAGGATGTTAGGGTCAGTGTTCAGGCCCTGTGTTCAAGCCCTAGACTAGCGTGTACACACAAACAAACACACACACACACACTCACACACACACACAAATTATTGAATTGTCCTATAACAAAGTCTTCAATTTCATTAGAAAAGATAATGCAATGCCAGTTTCTCATAGTTACCTCTGGGGAGGTAAGATTATAAAAGATTTATACTTTCTACATTAAGATTTCCTTGTTTGAGGTTTTAACAAATTAGACTAAAGATATACAATATCAAATTTATGAAGCTATACACAATGGGCAAGCTCTGTATAGCTTCCCACACTCCTGGTGGGATGTGCCAGGAATAAAGCTTACCGCTTGAGCCATGAGTGACTTCCAGTAACCATCAACAATACCAAATTTTCTGCCCTCTTCTGGCATCTGGGCTATGATGTCCTCTGAGCTGAAGATTGGTTCAAGGTAGAGCCAAGTGGCTTGACATTTCAACCAATTATCCAAAATCTCCTGCACACGAACTAGTTTTTCTTCCCATTTCTGTGAAGTTAGCATTCCACATCTGAATCATTAGCCTGACACTCAGTACCATGGACATGCAAATGGACGGGATCCATCCATACACACATCCTCGCTTTAAACACATATTTACTTAGTAGTGTTCTCTATTGTCTGGTCACTGTTCCGGGCAAAGTGGATATAGCAAAGAGTGAAACAAAGATTTCTTGATCTAATGGAGTTTACATTTTGTTGAGATAATAATAAGAGTGATTATAATGTTTCTTTTATGGCAATAGTCTGAGCTGCTTTACATTTATAAAATTGAATTTATATGATTTAATTCAACAACCTTAGAGATAGATATTATTGTAGAATCGCATTTCATAGATGCAGAAACTAAGACAGAACAGTTCAAGTAACTTTAACTTGTTCAAGGTCACACAACTAATAATGTAGGGCAGAGGTAGAATATGAATTCCAAACTGTCTGACTCCAGGGTCTATGCCGCTGCCTATGATACTTCTACAACAATGAACAAGGGAACTTCTCTCATGCAGCTCATAATTCTGTATTGCTATAGCCTATAGATGCTTTTCAAGTGTGTGTGTGTGTGTGTGTACACCAGTCCTAGGGCTTAAACTCAGGACCTGGGTGCTATCCCTGAGAGTTTTTGCTCAAGGCTAGTGCTCTACCATTTGAGCCACAGCTCTACTTTGGTGGTTAATTGGAGATAAGAGTCTCACAGACTTTCCTGCCTACGGTGGCTTCTAACCATGATCCTCAGATCTCAGTCTCCTGAGTAGCTAGGAGTACAAGTGTCAGCCATCGATGCCTGACCTCAAAATATAATTTTATTTGGTATTTTCAAAACTCTTCTCTTTTGGCAGATTACCACAATAAAGCTGAGGATGCCTATGCTTACTTGGATTGTTATTTCCTTTCAGGGTTATGTTCTTTGTTTTTTCCATTCAGAAGAAAACACATTTTTTTGTTAACAACTTGTCAAGCCTTCCCCTTCTTCTGCGAGAACCAGAGTTGAGGAAGCATCACAAAACTCACAACCCCATGCAATCTTACCCGGCATTCTGTTTCAATTGGCTTAATGAATGCGGAGCCACACATGGTCTGGGTCTTTATCACGTGGTCATCAAGCAGCAACTGAATGTCATCAACTGCACACAATATGCTTGTATCCTGCAAATAACAATGCCCATTACATCAAAATCAAGAAGACTATGTCAGATGCCAGTGGTTCACACCTGTAATCCTAGCTATTCAGTAGGCTGAGTTATGAAGACCAAAGCCAGCCTAGGCAGAAAGGTTAAAAAAAAATCAGTTGAGACTCATCTCAAATTAACCACCAAAGAGTTGAAAGTGGAGCTATGGATCAAAGGGTAGAACATCAGCCTACAGCCAAAAAACTAAGGACAGAGCCTAGGCCCTGAGTTTAAGCCACAGTACTATCATAAGAAAGAGAAAGAAAGGAGAGAGACAGAGAGAGGAGGGAGAGACAGAGAGCTTCTAAACAGGGAATCTATGTTTTGCAAAAAATAGAATTTCTATATTCTTTGAAACTATTCCAGACTCTTCTGCTTTAGCCTCCTGTGTGCCAGGATCACAGACATGCTTGAATATGCTCTAAAAGATATTCACTGTGCACTTCCTTTATAAAAATCCCACACCAGCAACAGCTGGGGAGAAACTCTTCTGTCCCCTTCCCTGTGTTCCTGCTTTTTTGTCCACTTGCTTTCCTGACTCTCTTGAGTAAAATGAGCTGGTAATCTGAATGGAGAGACCTGAACCCATGTGTTGCAGTCAATTCATAGTAATGATGAAGGTTATTTTAAAAATGAATTACAAATACTCTTTTATTTCAATTTATATGTACTTTCTAGTATCTGTTAAACTTATAGGACAAAATTGTTTCTTAACTTCTTTAGACCTAATTACATATAGGCATGGAGGTAACCATGATAAAAAGTACTTAGTACCCCCACACACATACACACACAAAAGAAGACAGTTTGTAAACCTGTCATATTCTTTTTTTGAAGTTTCGTTTTATTTTAATTCCATTTACACTCAGTTAACAATATATTCTAATCAATCTTATAGAATCTGAGGTTTTAGAGTGCTGTCCCCAGAACCAGACTGCCTGGGTTCTCTTCTTGGCTCTGTCTGAACAACACTGATGTTGTTATAAAGAAGAAACCAAGTTATTTGATAATAGTGCATGCATGCTGAATGCTCTTTGTTTCTCAGTTCTTTGTTTTTCAGAAGAAACTTACCTGTAATCACTACCATTTTACCAATGAGCTGGTATGTGGTAGGGTTAGATTTTTGACCAAAGTACCCTAGCTCTGAGATGTTTTTACCCTGGTGCAAGCTGCCTTTTAAACATTATTACCTTAATCATTAGGTTGTTTGGAAGATTAAATGTAAGGGTTTAGCACACCAAGCACTCAAAAGGTTTAGGTGCTAATCATTGTCATTATGATCCTCTCATTGCTTTTGTTTTTAACCTTCATGAGGCAAAATTGTCATTATCGTGGTCTAGAAAGTTTGTGAATTCTATACGCTTTCACAGTACAGCTATTTCTTTCACATCAGGTGATACGTACGTTTCTTTCCTTTTGCTTAGTGTTAATTGTGCCATCTTTCCCTCTCTTGAGTTGCTGCCTTGAGTTGCTTAGTTCGCTTTCATCAATGTCCAGTGCAGGGATGGGCCCCTCTGTTGTATTTTTTCCACTTGTTTCCCTCTGGTTCTGTACCCTCCTCCTAGCTGCTCTCAAATGTTCACAAGTATATACCATGTGTGAGGTCAAGAACAAAAGAAGACAGGTTTGTAAACCTGTCTTATATTCTTGATGATTCATATTTTGCCAGCATGTAAGGTTTCTACACAATTAAGGTCAGCTCCTATGGGCAAATAAGCTGAAAGGCTCTATGCCCTACAGCAAGTCTACTTTTGCCCTGTTTTTGTTTTGTTCAAGCTTATCTAGCCTAAAGATATATCCTATCTTTTTTTTTTTTGTCAGTCATAAGGCCTGAACTCTGGACCTGGACGCTGTCCTTCAGCTCTTCAGCTCAAGGCTAGCGCTCTACCACTTGAGCCACAGCGCCACTTCCAGTTTTCTGATGGTTAATTGAAGGTAAGAGTCTCATGGACTTTCTTGCCCAGGCTGGCTTTGAACCAGATCTTCAGATCTCAGCCTCCTGAGTAGCTAGGATTACAGGCATGAGCTATTGGCATAATACTGGTATAATAGCCTATCTTAAAAAAAATTTTCATGTACAAAGGAGTTGCCATTTTACAAAGCATTATATGAATACAAAGCATTTTGATCAGTGTTATTCTTTCAACATTTCTTTTTTTTTTACTTTTTAAATTTTATTGTAAAGCTGCTGTACAGAGGGGTTACAGTCACATGAGTAAGATAATGAGTACATTTCTTGTCGAGCATTGTTACCCCCTCCTTTGTTTTTCTCCTACTATCAGGATATATCCTTTTACCTATAGCTCCACATTGGGAAATATGTCCAGCTATTAAAGAAAGGGAATCTTAGTTCCTAATTTATTGTTGATTCTTGTCTATAGCTGCTTCAGTCAAAGGTTCTGAAGAAGGACTAGAATGATAGAGCTTCTCCTGGGTCTCCTAAGCTTAACTCTCAGCCCACAGCCTCCACAGCAGTATCTGACTCTGAATTAGACCATGTAGCACAAGGCTTCTGGGACCCATGTAGGCCTGTCCCTGCTGGAAGAGGCCTAGTAACAAGCCCAAGGGCCTCGAGTTCTCCTCCTTCCCAATGGTTCATCAATAGTTCTTATTCAAGTATAAAACCAAAGCAGCGTGACTGCTGAAACTAAAGTGAGAAAAGAAAGGGATGGGAATCTACAGAGTCTGGGTTCTCAATCCACAATGAACATTAGAAAAGCCAGCAGAGGACAGGGAGTTAAAATAAACATGTTCAACCAGCCTCATGCTGGTAATCCTAGCTACTCAGGAGGCTGAGATATGGGAGGATCGTGGTACCAAGCTAGCCTAGGAAGAAAAGTTAATGAGACTTTATCTCCAAAATATCCAGCAAAAACTGGACTAGAGATGTGACTCAAGCGGTAAAGTACCAGGTGAACAAGCATAAAGCAAGCATGAGGCTGTGAATGTAAACCCTAGTAGTGCATATACACATACACACACATGCATGCATGCATGCATGCATGCACACTTGCACACACGCACACACATATCCATAATAATAAAACATAGACTCAGATACTCTGGTAGTGCAGATGCTGGGAAGATTCAATTTTTGTTGTTGTTGTTTTAAGCATCCCAAGTGATTGTATTGCTTAGCAATTGGAACCAGTGATAATATACACTATGTTAACATCAGGCTCCACAATTTTCTACTCCAAGATCCATCTGAAGAATAAACCAGACCCTAGACACATATGAGCAAGCACTTTTCCATATGTACTGTACAAACCCATATGCTATCTATAAGTTCTAGTGAAAAGAAAGAAATTGCATTCTTGAAATTCAAATCATGGTGCAGTAATCTGGGAGTTTATAGTGACAGAACTCAGGCTCTACCCCCAGAACCAATGCATCAGACACTGCAGTTTAAGGCAATCTCCAGCGGACTCCTATACAAACACATTTGAGAGTCAGAAGGCCCTATCTACCCACAGGTATGCCTAGGAGGGCCCTGGGGAGCAGTGAAGAGAAGGAGAGCCTGTGTTCTCCTTGGGAGATGCTAATTCAGAAGATATGCACAATTCCTTTGCATTGAGAAAGCCTCTTGCTCTGACTCAAGACCCTTGGGATTTGAAAATGCATCTCCCCAACAGTGTCTGGGACGAAAGATGACTGGTAGGAACAGGGAGGCAGATAGGAGGAAATGATCCAGATGTAAGGGATAATCATTCCATGAGTTCTCTTGAAATTCTGAATCAATCACCTCTGGAATCTACTGTATAATAGAAGGGTTTTGTTTTGTTTTGTTTTGTTTTAACGGGGCTGCAGTTAGACTGATACTTACCGTGTCCCTGTATTTTATGAAGTTGAATGTCATATTAACCCAATCTGACTTCATTTTCTCCAAGTTCTTCTCCAGAGAATATTCCTTGCTGGCAGCTGCACCAATGGGTTCTAGTCTGAAGGAAAAACACAGTAGCAGCAACAGCAGCAACAAGAGGTCAGGAAAACATGTCAGCAGGGGAACTGGAACTCAGCTTAAGAGAATTTCCAAAGCTTTTAATCGTACAAAAATGTTTACTTTCATATTTGCCAGCTACTTCCAAGATGTTGTAGGAATTTTCAGTCTGAGTGCTAGCAACTCTTGGGTGTGCGTTATGAGTTGAACTTAGTCCCTTCACGTTCACACTAAAGAAGTTCTAATCCCCTGTACCTCCAAATGTGCATGCATTTGGAGAAATAGTCTTTAATGAGGTAATGAAGTTCAAATGAATTTCTGAAGAGTGACCCGAATCCTTCATGACTAGTATCATGAGTATGATGCACAGAGGAACAAAACCATGTGAGAAGAGGCCAGCCCTACCAATGCTGGGCTTCGATTTCAAACTTCCAAAATTATGAGAAAATACATTTCTGTTGTTAAAGATCCCTCAACCTGTGGTATTGTGATAGTGGCCCCCCAAAAAATCACTGGGGCTGGGAAGGTGGCTCAGTGGTAGAGTGCTTGCCTTGCATCATGAGGCCCTCAGTTTGATTCCTTAGCACCACATGAGCAGAAAAATCCGGAAGTGGTACTGTGGCCCAAGTGGTAGAGTGCTAGCCTTGAGCTGAAGAGCTGAGGGACAGTGCCCAGGCCCAGAGATCAGGCCCCATGATTAACCAAAAAAAACAAAGTAACAACAACAACAAAAACACTGAAGCTGGGCACCGGTGGTGGCTCACACCTGTAATCCTAGCTACTCATTAGGCTGAGATCTGAGGATCATGGTTCAAAGCCAGTCCAGGGGTTGGGAAGTTGGCTCAGTGGTAGAGTGCTTGCCTTGCATGCATGAGGGCCCTGGGTTCGATTCCTCAGTACCACATAAGCAGAAAAAGCCGGAAGTGGTGCTGTGGCTCAAGTGGTAGAGTGCTCACCTTGAGCTGAAGAGCTGAGGGACAGTGCCCAGGCTGAGTTCAGGCCCCATGACTGACAAAAAAAAAAAAAAAAAAGCCAGTCCAGGCAGAAAAGTCTGTAAGACTCTGATCTCTAATAAACCACTAGAAAACCAGAAGTGGCACTGTGGCTCAAGAAGTAGAGCATTCACCTTGAGCTGAAGAGGGCAGGGCAAGGACAGCGCCCAGGCCCAGAGTTCAAGCCCCATGACCGACAAAAAAAAAAGCATTGATTGGTTTCTGAGGTTCAGAAAACAAGTTGAAAGATAAGGGAAAATGATAAAAGGTATGAAATTGATCAAGATATATTATATTCATAAATTGACATGTTGAATTGAAACCCTTTTGTACAACTATTATACAATAATAATAAAATTAAAAATTTTAAAGTTAAAAAATAAATGAAATATGGGAATACTGGGTACCAGTGGTTCATGCCTATAATCCTTGCTACTCAGAAGGCTAAGATTTGAGGATTTTGATTTGAAGCCAGCTGGGGCAGGAAAGTTCATTAGACTCTTGTTTCCAATTAAGCATCAAAAAAGGCAGAAATGGAGCTGTGCTTCAAGTGGTAGAGCACTAGCCTTGAACAAAAATAATCTCAGGACAACACCTAGGCCCTTAGTTCAAGTCCCAGGACTGGCATGCATGCATGTTAGTTCGTGTGCATGCATGCGCACGCACATATGCACACACACACACACACACACACAAAGAAAAATAGGAATAATAAAAATACTCCCAACTACTTGCATGTAATATATATATATATATATATATATCCCCACTTGTTCTTTAAGTCATCTCTAGATTACTTATAATCAGAATCAATTAGTAACAATGTGACTAATATAAATACTATGCAAAATAGTTAAATTGTTTAGAGAAAATGACAAGGAAAAAAGTATATAGGTTCAGTACAAATGTATGAGTCATGGAGCTTGAACTCAGGGCCTGGGTGCTGTTATTAAATTTTTCTCTCAAGGCTAGTGCTCTACCACTTTGAGCCACAGCTCCACTTCCGGTTTTCTGGTGGTTAATTAGAGATAAGAGTCTCACAGACTTTTCTGCCCAGGCTGATATTGAACCACAATCCTCAGATCTCAGCCTCTTGAGCAGCTAGGACTACTGGTGTGAGCTACCAGTGCTTGCCTTGTAATAATTTTGGAAGTTATTTTTTACTTACAGTTAGTTTTATCCAAAGATATAGAGCCATATTTACATGTTTCTATGGCTGCTCTGAAATGAGGAACAGTAATGGTGTTAGGGGCATCAAAGCACTCAGGTGGGCAGCACCTTAGGCCAGACTGTGCAATATGCAGTTCTCAAATTCTAGCCAACAGGTATACTGCCTGGAACTGTCTGTTACAAATGCAATGGCAGCATATACATAATTTTTTTAAATTTTTGGTACTGGTCCTAGAGTTTGAACTCAGAACCTGATCATTTATATCCAGGGATAGATAACACTTTACCACTTGAACTACAACTCCACTTCTGGAATTTTGGGGTGGTTAATTGGAGATTCGAATCTCATAAACTTTTCTGCCTGGGCTGGGTATGAACCAAGATCCTTAGCTCTCAGGCTCCTGAGTTGCTAGGATTACAGACAGGAAACTTCCTTCCTTCCTTCCTTCCTTCCTTCCTTCCTTCCTTTCCTTCCTTCCATCCTTCCTTCCTTCTATCCTTCCTTCCTTCCCTCCCTCCCTTCCTTCCTTTTATCTTTTTTCTTTCTTTCTTCCTTTTTTTCTTTTTTTGCCTGAGCCTTGAACTCTCAGCCTGGGTGCTGTCTCTTATTTCCTTTTGCTCAAGGCTAGCACTCTACAACTTGAGCTCCCACCACTTCTGGCTTTTTTCTGTAATCACCAGAAGTGGTGCTGTGGCTTAAGTGGTAAATTGCTGGCCTTGAGCAACAGAAGCTCAAGGATAGTGCCCAGGCCCTGAATTCAAGCCCCAGGACTGCCAAAAAAAATCCTTTTAGTATTTTATTTCAAATAAAGTTATTTTATTATTAAATTATTTTATCTCAAATAAAATATATGACAATTTTCTAGTCCTAAGCTATCTCCAGCTCTTCAACTGAAAATGAAATTTTCACCAGTAGAGAGTCAGCACAAATGGAGGTTATTAAAAGTCTTACAGTCACCCCAAACCAGAAGGAGCAAACAGACAGATAGAATCCCATGTGAGCACTTACAGATACTTGGATTTTAAAAAAAAGTAAAACTTTTTCAAAGGAAGAAATAAATCTTACTTTTCAATGTATTTGCCAAATCCAAGCTCCAGCATATTTAAGAGGCAAGTTGTTTCTGTGGGCTTTATTTCATAGCCAATAATTTCACTGATCTGCAGGAGACAGAAGAAGTGTTCATTAGCCAAAACAGCAGAGTATTCTGTGACAACGAACATAGTTTCTATCTGTGGTGTCCAGCACTGTGGCCACTAGCTCCTGGAAGTTACTCAACAATGACAGGGTGGCTAGCATAACTGAGGATCTGAATTTTTTACATAAAATGTTTTGTTTTTGGTGCCAGTCTTTGGGCTGGATTTCAGTGCCTGGATGTTGTTCTTTCCTTTCTTTCCTTTCTTTTCTTTTCTTTTCTTTCTTTCTTTCTTGCTTTCTATCTTGTTTTCTCTTTCTTCTTTCTTTTTTTCTAAAGGCCACAGCTCCACTCTCTGCATTTTTGGTGCTTAATTGGAGATAAGAGTCCCATAGACTTTCCTGTGCAGGCTAGCTTTGAACTGTGAGTCTCAGATCTCAGCCTCCTGAGTAACTAGGATTATAGTGTGAGTCACTGGCACCTGGCATTTTTCACTTCATTTTAGTTAGCTCAAACTTACTTAAATAGACATGTGTATGTAGCTAGTGAACTGGACATTGTAAATCTGAGGACTAAGGAGGCAGCCTAGAGCCATGCTGTATCTCATTACCTGGGGGTTGGTTCGTCTCCCACATCAACTTATGAGCACCTAGAGGATTGGGCCAGAGTCTGGTTTGTTTCTGTGCTCCCAAGGCCTTGTGAAAAGTCTGGTCTGTGATCTGACATTTGCTGAATAAAGGGAGGAGGTCAGGATTTCACAGCACAGAAGACTACAGAATGCTGTAAAGTGATGATAAGTAAGGAGGATTTTCAGGGGCTGTTGGCTCATCACTGTAATCCTAGCTACACAGGAAGCTGAGAACTGAAGATTTCAGTTCAAAGGCAGCCTGGACAGTTAAGTCTTCTGGTTGGAAATACTCCATTTTCCTGCACAAATATTCTGCCAAGCTTTTTTAGGCTTTTTAAACTATTTTAATATTTTTTCAAGAATAAAATGGAGTGTCATTAGGTATATTCACATTATATAACTATCTCCATCATCCCTCTCCTGTTTGAATCCAAGGACTAAAAACCAATAGTCGTTGTTTTGTTTGTTTTTGTGAAAGTATCAGGGCTTGAATTCAGGGCCTTGCACTCTCATTTAACTTTTTTCTTAAGTCTAGTGCTCTACCACTTGAGTCACTTCCAGCTTTTTGCCAGTTAATTAGAGATAAGAGTCTCACAAACTTTTCTGCCTGGGCTAGCTTTGAACTGAGATCCTCAGATCTCTTTCTCCTAGGGTTACAGGTATGAGCCATCAGCACCAGACCCTAGTTTACTTAAGTGTAATTACGACTAAAGAAATCGTAGGCAAAAATGCCAATGACTTTTGAACATCTCTTGAGACTGAAAGATCTGGATTTTTATATGGGTTTCATGAGCTACAAAGGAGATGGGGGAACAAAGGGGACTGAAGCTTTATGCAAAACTTTAATTACTGTTCAATATTGTCTCTGTAAGACCTGGGCAGGAAAGGGCATGAGCTCCATGTCACATTCTGTTTTACTTAGCTCTGTCACTGCTATCTGACATTTAGTGGGGCCTTAAGAAGTATTCATGGAGTAAAACTAAACCAGTTAGGTCAGACAGCTCCCAATCTGGGTTCTGGGGACATGGGGAGGACCAGTAAAGTAATGGAAATAATACAACTGATGTACATTTATTAATGCTTACTACATACATAGTAATCACTATTTCAAAGCTTTATGGACTTATTTCATTCTCATACACAATGAGGAATATGATAATGTATTAGTATTCCCACTGAACCAAGGAAATAATTATCTTTCCAAAACCATCTAGCTAAATTGACAGAATTAGGACTAGGTCCAATTCTGCTTCCAAAGTTCTTTTTTTTGTGAAAATACTGTACAGAGGGGTGACAATTACATGGGCAAGATAATGAGTACATTTCTTATCAAGCATTGTAGCCTCCTCCTTTGTTTCCCTTCCCATCCCTTCCCATCCTCCCCCTGTCCCCCACCCAATCCTCCCCACTCTCCCTCTCCCCCAATGTTCTTATCCATCAAACCCCAGTGTCTGTCACAGGACTTCTAAGGACAGCTGTTTAATTAATCTTTACAACTCTACAAAGTACAATTCCCACTGCAGTGTACAGAAATAGAACTTCCTATAGTTCTGCAGTGCACAAGCTATACAACTGTGGCCCTGGCCTCTCATTCGTTCTCTTACATCTGAATGTACAGCCCAGTGCAACACCCTATCTCTGGGACTAAATTTCACAGCTATGTAATGCTCTTGGTATTAATGCTTAACCTGTAGTAAGAACTCAGAGTTGGTAGTTTTAATTTTTTAATTGCTGTGTGTGCGATGCATGCACACACGTGCACACTGGTACTGGTACTTGAATTCAAGGCCCAAGCTCTGATCCTTAGGTTTTTCACTCAAGGCTGATGCTTTTATGACTTGAGCCACATTTCCACTTCTAGATTTTTTTGTGATTAATTGAAGATAAGAGTCTTGGGGACTTTTCTTCCCAGACTGGCTTTGAACTGACTCTCAACCTCCTGAGTAGCTAGGATTACAGCTACGTCAGCCACTGGCCCCCAGCTACTTTAGTTAATCATAGAGATTTGCAAGGCATTTGGCTCTCTCATTCCAAGAACCTGGGTTACGCTGTCCAGTGAGTAGCCACTAGCCCCTTGTAACTCGAGCATTTGAAATGTGGCTAATCTAAACTGAGATGTATAAAAACATACCATTTTCTATTTCACATCAACATACTAATATAACTAAAATGTTAACCATAATGATCAATATATAAGATACTATTATATATATATATATATATACTTGGATAAATAAATTATGTTCATGCTTTTACTTTGTAAATTGTGGCTCTTAGAAACTTTCAAATTAATATTGCCATGTGTTTTATTTCTATTGGACAGTCTGGTCTTAGTTGTAGGGACAAGTCTGCTATCTAACAACATAGCTTCTCAAGGTCAGTGTAATCTTGTTTAAACTACAGAAGCAATCCTTTCAAAATGGCCAAAGATACAGCCCAACCCTATGACCATGGAATATCTATCCTCTGGCCTTGAGGCCTACAAGTGGCTCAGCCTTCATAGTTCCTGATCCATCTAGAACCTCCTGATTCTAGCACCTGAATCTCCTAAGTGAACCAATAAGACAGATAAAAAGCTGGACACTGATGGTTCATGCCTATAATCCTAACTCTTCAGGGTGCTGAGATCTGAGGATCAAGAATTCAATCCAGCCTGAGTAAAAAAGTCCCTGAAACTCTGATCTCCAATTAACCACTAAAAAGCTAGAATTAGAGGTATGGCTCAAGTGGTAGAGCATCAACCTTGAGGGGAAAAGCTAAATGAGAGTGTGAAGATCTCAGTTCAAGCCCTAGTATTGATGCACACACACACACACACATACACACACACACACACACACACACACACACACACACACACACTATGCCTCTTCATTTCCACATTGGCTTCTGTCCCTGGGATGGTTTGTGGTGTGACCTATGCTGCAGACAGAAGTAAGCCCATGTGTATGTGGCAGCCCTCAGTGTATGTGGCAACATTTG